TCTTTGATTTTAATCTTTTACATTGGCCATCATACCCTCTTCCGTTTGCTTATCACTCCATTCCAAACGGAGAAACTAGCTCCCACCATTCTTTTATTTGTTGAGTTCCAGGGTACGTGTACAATGATAACAGAATTGTTAACCTGTATGCACACTTCTTCCTGTATAAAGTATCTTCATCAACTAGAACACCGCTTATGTACAGTTTTTTTGTTGTTGTTGATTTTTTTTGTTTTGTTTTTTGGCCTTTAGTCTAACAGACTTCTCTCATTTCTAAGTTTACTTTTCTCCAACCCCTTTATAAGGTTCTTTTCGTATGCTTTTTATAGTTAAAATGTTTTTTCACATTCAGCATTGCATCCTAAGAGTCTCCTATTTCCTAAATAATGTTGTGGTTTTTTAGTGTGCATACATTAAAATTCACTCTCTGTGCTGTGAAGTTCCTTGGGTTTTGACAGATGCTTTGTGTCATGCATTCACCATCATTTTAGGATCATACAGAACAGTTTTATCACCCTACGCTATAATCATTCAACCTTCCCTCCACCCCTTAACCTGTAAACTACTGTTTTGTTTTTACCATCTCTCTAGTTTGGTATTTTCAATCTGTCATATAGTTGAAAATATACAGTATGTAGCCTTTCCATTTCCAGAATGGCTTCTTTCACTTAGAAATGTGCATTTAAGATTCATTCCTACTTTTTGTGGATTGTTAGCTCATTTCTTCCTGCTGCTGAATCATTTTCTGTTGTATGCATGTAACCCAGTTTGCTTATCTGTTCATCTCTGGAAGGGTATCTTGGTTGCTATAAATAAAGCTGCCATAAACATTTATGTGCAAGTTTTTATGTCAGCATAAGTTTTCAGATCCATTGGGTAAAAAACTGGAATACAACTGCTAGATTGTATAATAAGGCTCTGTTTAGCTTTGCAAGAAATTTCCAAACTGTCTTTCTGAGTGGCTGTATACCATGTTGTATGTCAGATAGGAATGAGAGTTCACAGTTTTCATATCCTCACCAACAATTGATATATTCAGTTATTTATTTTAGTCATTTTAATAGGTGCAAATTAGGTATCTCACTTTTGTTTTAGTTTGGATTCACTAGTGGCAAATGATGTTGACTATCTTTATTTGGTTATTTGCCATCTGTAGATTTTCTTTGGTGAGCTGTCCAGGTATTTTGCCTGCTTTTTCATTGGGTCATTAGCTTTCTTATTGTTGAGTTATGAAAGTTTTTTGTGTGGTTTGGATACAAATCCTTTATCAGCTAATGTGTTTCCCAAACATTTTCTTCCTTTCTGTGGCTTGTCTCTTCATCTTTTAATAGTGTCCTGTGCAATGCAGAAGTCTATAATTTTAATTAAGTCCAACTTACCAATTTTTCTTTCAAGGACTTTTTTTGATATTGTATCTAAAAACTCATCACTAAACTAATATAATATAGATTTTTTTCTGTGCTTTCTTCTATAATTTTTATAGTTTATATTTGGCTTTAAGATACATTTTGAGTTGATTTTTGTGAAAGATATAACATCTGTTTGTAGGTGTCTGCTTTTAGTTTTTAGTTTATTGATATTCACTTGTTCCTATACCATTTGTTGAAAAAAACATTATTTTTCATTTAGTTGTCTTTGCTCCCTTGTCAATAATCAGTTGACTATATTTCTGAGGGTCAGTTTCTGGGCTCTGTATTTTGTTCCATTGATCTGTGTCTTTTCCTTCATAAACACCATGCTATATTGATTGTAGCTTTATAATAAGTCTTAAAATCAGGTATTATGAGTCTTCTAACATTGTTTTTCTTCTCAGTATTGTGTTGTCTATTCTCAGTCTTTTGCCTTTCCATGTATACTTCAGAAAATGTTTGTCTATATCTAAATATATATCACCTGCTGAGATTTTGGTTAGAATTGCTTTGAATCTATAGATTAGTTGGGATGAACTGGCACCTTAACAATATTATGACCACGAGCATGAATGTTACTTCTTTGAGTTCTTCCATCAGAGTATTATAGTTTTCTACATAGGGATACTGTACATATTTTGTTAAATTTGTACCAAAAACATGCAGTTTTTTGTGGCTTCAGTAAATGTTTTTGTGTTCTTAAATTCCAACTATTTGTTGCTGGTATATAGGAAAGCGTTTGACTAGTAATCTTTTAGTCTGAGATCTTATTTTACTAGCTTATTAATTATAGGAATATGTGTAAGGGGGTTTTTAGGACTATTTTGGGGAATTTTTTTACATAGCCAATTATGTCACCTGTGAACAAAGGAAGTTTTACTTTTTCCTTTAAAATCTGTACAAGTTTTATTTACTTTTCTTGTTTTATTGAAATAGGTAGGACTTCTAGTATAGTGTGGAAGAGTAGTTGTGAGAATAGACATCCTTCCCAATCTTAAGGGGAAGACCTTCAGTTTCTCACCATTCGATATGTTGTAGGTTTGCTCCACATGTTCTTTTTTTTCTTGAGACAGCGTCTGACCCTGTTGCTTAGGCTCACTGCAACCTCAGCCTCTCAAGTTCAAGTGATTCTCATGTATCAGCCTGAGTAGCTGGGATTACAGACTTGTACCAGCATACCTGGCTAATTTTTGTCTTTTTTTCAGTAGAGATGGGGTTTCACTGTCTTGGCCATGCTGGTCTAGAATTCCTGATCTCAAGTGATCCACCTGCGTTGACCTCACAAAGTGTTGGGATTACAGGTGCGAGTCACCTTGCCTGGCTGAGGTTTTTTTTCAACTTGAGGAAATTGCCTTCTTTTCCTATGTTACTGAAAGTTGTTATGAATGAGTGTCGCAGTTTGCCGCATGCTTTTTCTGCTCTATGTATGTGATCACATGATTTTTCTACTTTAGCCTTGTTGGTGTGGTAGTAGATTATATTGATTTTCTAATATTAAACCAATCTTATATACCTGGAATAAATCCTACTTGGTGATGGTGTATAATTACTTTAATACATTATGGAATGGAGTTTGCTGATATTTTAAGGCTTTTTGTACCTATGTTCATGAGATATGCTGATTTATAGTTGTTCACTTTAGACTGGCTTTATCCACATTGCTTATTAGGGGGCCTTGTTCTTGTTTCTCTTCAGATCACATGTCTCATCCTAGGGAGGTTACGGAGGAGTTCGGCTCCTTACAAGGCTGGCTTTGTTTGTCCCTTTTCCTCCCCATCTTTGGCCAGTTGTAACCTCTTAGGGCGATTTGGAATTCTGGGAGATACTTTCTTTGTCAGGTTCCAACCAGGGCTCAAAACCCGGCTGGGGACAGTTACCTCTGGCCTCCCTGGCTGGCCCAGACTAGTCCCAGCCTCTGATGAGTAATGTAGAAATACTTTTAAGGAGGCATTTCCAATGACCATCCTCACAGATTGGGTTAGGAAGTGATCCCTCTGTTTATATTTTTTTGGATAAGATTATAGAGAACTGGTATTATTTTATTCTTCAGTATTTGATAGAATTCATTGAAATCATATGGAGTTGATGCCTTCTTCTTTGGAAGGTTATTAACTGTTGATTAAATTAATTTAATAGACATAAGCCTGTTCAGATTATTTAATTCTTCTTGTGTTGTACATTATGAATCAGAATCAGTCACATTCATGTAAGTTAAAAAATGTGTCGGCTTGGAGTTGTTCATAGTATTTCTTCATTATTCTTAAGTATCCTTCAGGAGGTCAGTAATAATGAAATTCTCTTCTTCTTCTTCTTCTTATTGTTTTTTTCTTTTTGAGACAGAGTCACTCCATTGTCCAGACTCGAGTGGAGTGGAGTGATCTTGGCTCACTGCAACCTCAGTCTCTTGGGTTCAAGTGATTCTTGTGCCTCAGCCTCCCAAGTGGCTGGGACTACAGGCACACACCACTGTGCCTGGCTAAGTTTTGTATTTTTAGTAGAGATGGGGTTTTGCCCTGTTGACCAGGCTGGTCTTGTACTCTTGGCCTCAGGTGATCCACCTGCCTCGGCCTCTCAAAGTGCTGGGATTATAGGCCTGAGCCACCGCACCTGGCCAAAGCCCTCTTTATTTCTGATACTGGTGTTTGGGCTTTTATTTTGCCTGTCTATACAGGTTTATCAGTTTTTTCAGTCTTTTCAAAGTCCAACTTTGGGTTTTGATAATTTGCTGTTTTTGGAAAATGAGTCTTTAGCTGTGTATTCGCTAAGCCTAACACACCGAAGGAGGAGGAAGCTGATCTGTAGGCAGCCAGCCCATCAGCTGTAGTTCTTGCTGGCAGGTCTTGTCCAAGTGACATACATCACGCTGTGTCTGTATTCTCTGCTGTAGCCACATTTTCCTGTCCTTATTTCTACAAATAGGACCTGCATATTTTCACAGGTTTTTGCTTCTGTGGAACGATACTTGATAGAGCCACTCCCTTCCTTTCTGACTTCAGGTCTCATGATTTGCATTAGAAATACATGAATATGTTGAATTCTACCTCAGAAAATGCTAGTATTTACTTAATCTAAGAATGTTGTTTTATTACCATGTAGTTGGTACATTATTTAGGAAACTACATTTTATTCTTTCTCTGGTGGAATTGTGGCATATGTTTTGGCCTCTGGCTTTGCTCACAGCTGTTCTCAGACAGTTTTAAAATCTCTACGCCTCAGTTTCCTTGTCCAGAGATAAGCAAGACAAGGCACACTTCCTAAGGTGGGAGTGAAGTTTGGGTGTAATCCTGGCATGGCATCCTGTAGAAGTCTAGGTTGCATGTGACTTCCCCAATATCGTAGTTTCCTGCTCCGTATACTGACCAGAGATTGAGTCCAGACTTCTATATTGTTACTAGACTACCTACCTAAAGGACTTAATTTCATTTTGGTAGATACCTGTTTCATGTTTCCTTTAGGTCTTTGCTGTGATGTCCTTATTCCGTTTTATAAAAATATAGAACATTAATTTTGTTCCTGAGGTATAAATATATGTGAATAACGTAATGTCAGAGAATATGGTAGATACTGCTAATTTGACCCTCTTGGTTACAGGGGAAGGGGAGGAGTTACAGCCCGGCCAGTTGGAGTTGTAGTACCACGAGGGACGCCAACGCCCAGAGGAGTCCTCTCCACCCGAGGGCCCGTGAGTCGGGGAAGAGGACTTCTCACTCCCAGAGCCAGAGGAGTCCCCCCAACTGGGTACAGACCTCCACCGCCACCCCCAACACAAGAGACTTATGGAGAATATGTAAGTGAAGGTGTAAGACAACAGCCTTGTTGATCAGATTGACCCAACCCAGACTTAGCACTGGATATTGTACCCAAGTACCCTTTGTTTTGGTTCTTGAGTACTTGACCTTGGTTCAGCTAATATTTGAGTACTAAAGAAGTACTTAATGCCAGAATCATAAAAATGGCCTGATCTTTTTCATCAGACAGCTTAAATCTAAGGTATGGAAGAGGAATTGGGTGGTCGAGAGGTATAAGACTTAAGTTTCAGGAGACATATTTTCGAGCCCTTACAAAGGTTCAGGAGACATATTTTTGAGCCCTTCAAGAGTTCAATGTAATATTCTTCTATATTCCACTCCTGAATACTTAAGTCATTTAAAAAATAATTGCCTACATATACCAAGATGGTTTCACCCTTAACTGTTTCCTTTTAAGCTGTGCTGCTGAGTATAGATTCTTAGTGAAAATTCTTTTCAGTGAAGAAAACAAAAGTTCTCTGTTTTCAATTAGTGCTAATCTTTCATTTATCATTCAGTGATTTTTTGATGTAATTCATAGACTGACTTAACATAAGAGAGAATTACAACCGCAAAAATTGAGGGTGAAAGGAATTTTTTTATGTCCTCATTTATCATACATGAAGAAAATAAGAAGCAATGGATGGGTGATTTGTATTAGTAATTGAAATTGTTAAAATAAGAGTGTATGAACTGTTGTCAATGAAAGGGAAGCAGTGACGATGATAAAATGCAGGAACCAGTGGGTTTTCAAGTTTTACTTTAAGAGAGATCTCTTGCTAGGTGCTCTGTGCCTCTTTGCATAGTTTCTAGAAGGTTGCAATAATCCCGTGGGCCACAGATGACTTCTTCAACCTCATCTCTGTGGACCTTGGTAAGATCAAAGTCTTCGTCTTGGACATACTTAAGTTTTTGTAATTCCCTGAAAATACTGTGTCACCTTAGGCTTCCGGGCCTTTACTGATTCTGCCTCCTCAGCCTAGATGGTCTTCTCATGTTTCATTTGAGTTCTCCTTTTGTCCTTCTAGACTTACGTCAGCTACTGCTAGGAAAATTTACAGGCAGTAATAGTTAACCTATTGAGCATTACTACAGTTCTTACATGTCTCTCTCCCACCTAGCTTGTGAACCTGTGGTAGGGCAGGAATAGATAGCTTTTATCTCTTTCTACTTGGGAGAGAGTGCATACTGGGAGCTCACTGAGTTATATTTTAATGAGTAAATCCCGTAATAGTTTCACAAGTTTGTTTTTCAGTTGAGGAAGAATGTAGTTCCTCTCTTCTCTTTGAATTCCTTACTACAGTAGCACGTATTCCTACTTCTAATATATATTCTTACCAGATGACAATAATAATCATGCCTCAGCTCTTCCGTAAATGCTGAGTCTCCTGAAAGTTGCGGAGACTGTAAAGGAGAGGAAATGTTAAATTCCTTTTATGTAGACCCAGTGTCTGTTCCTTTCCACACTGGCTTACACTGATTTCTCTTAGGTTTAGATTTAATATAGATGTGGTTGGATGATGTAGTAGAAATTGCTCGGCAGGTTTTGTAGGAAACCTGGATCCTATACCCCATTTTGTCATAAATTTTGACATCAGTTAGGCAAGATATTTAACTTTTTGGGCTTTATAATTCACTTATTTCAGAAAGCACTATTATTGCCTTCTTTACATGTATTCATCTTTCCATTCAGTAAAGGTTGGATTTCTACCATGTGAGCCAGACACACATGTTGTCTGTCTCAGTGTGTAGACTCTAATTAGAGATTGGAAATCATGATGTTGATCAATTAAAATGAAAATTTATTGAAAGGTTAAAGCCCAAGGGAGAAAAAGCAAAAGCAAGTAAGAGAAATTCAAGACATTTGGATTTGCTGCTTGTACCTTTGATTTTTTTTTTTTTCAGTAAATGATGGGAAATGCATTAAAACAATTGAATTGAGAAGTATTCTTAGGATTAATTTACTCCCTTTTCCATCTGCTACCAAGGATAATGGGATAATGGCCCTGTAGAAGATTACCTGTGTCCTTCCAGAACCAGACGACAGTTTCAGAGCTCTAAAGGAGAAAGTCAGCCTTCATTGTTTGATTCCCACGCTTACTCATGCCTGGCACTCCCGCAGGCACTGACATGACTGTGGCAGTGATTTCAGCACACAGCCCGTGCTCTTTCTGTCACATGGTAGTATTGCCTTCAAATAACACAAGTGTTTTAACGTGACTGGAATGCAGCATTTGCAATTTCATCAACTTCATACGATAACAACTCTTGCACACATAAAACAGCTATGTGCTTTCCAGGTGTGCTTTGGGTGTAGAGTGGGACGCCAAAGAAAAAGAAACACCATCATGAATGCACCTCCTTCCCCAAGTTAAATTACTGTCATGAAGGGTTCAGATTACAAATGTTGTAACTTTCCCACTTAATTTACTATCTATTTTTCCTGGAATGTCTTTTAAGATTACTAGTCAAGAGGAAAGATTTTCCTCATTTAGCCTAGCATTTTGTAAGCTGCCTTGACACAGGTATAGTAAAAGCTTCAGTAGCTTTTTTAGTATAGTAAAAGTGTATATATTCACTATATATAACCAACTTTGCTGGTAGTTGGTGTAAGGAGTAGATAAAGCCCTTCAGCTCACTTACAGTGGCCCCATCAGTAGCACTGCCTCCTAGATATACCCTTTTAACCTCGTCTTCCTCCGCTGACCAGTTTTAATTGAACTTTCTACTTCCAACCTTTCTAATACAGCTTGCAGTCTCTCGCTTAATTTTAGACATTGGCCATTGGTCTCAACTGTTTGAAATCCTAAAGATTATTCACCTACCACATTTAGTTTTGTAATATGGTAGGGGAAGTGTGAAGTAAAATCTTCTTAAAAATTTTTTATGTTGGTCTTGGTGCAATGGCTCACGCTTGTAATCCCAGCACTTTTGGAAGCCAGGGTGGGCACATCACTTGAGGTCAGGAGTTTGAGAACAGCCTGGCCAATGTGGTGAAACCCCTCCTCTACCAAAAACATACAAAAATTAGCTGGGTGTGGTGATACATACCTGTAATTCCAGCTACTTGGGAAGCTGAGGTGGGAGAATCGCTTCAACCCAGGAGGCGAAGGTTGCAGTGAGCCGAACTGGCGCCACCGCACTCCAGCCTGGGCAACAGAGCAAGACTCTATCTCAAAAAAAAAAAAAAAAAAAAAAAAAAATTCTTTTTGTTTCTTTGTTACTAGAATTTTAGATAAGGTGGGTATATTATAAGATACGAACTTTTAGAAAATGAGGAGCCTGTAACACAAATAAATGGTTATCCATTCATGTATCAAGTGGGAAAGTTGGTCATCTTTGAATATACTAAAATTATTACATGGAACCAGAATATCATAAATTAGATTCTAAATTCCATGAGGGTAGGGACTCTCCATCTTTCTCCCCTATCCCCTACTCACCACAATTCACTTTTTTATTCCCAATAACTAGTATATAATGTCTGGCACATAGTAGGTCTTTTGTAAATATTTACTGAATGAATGAATGGTGACAAGACTGTTTTTAAATATTGCCACCTGCAGAGAACCCACCACAGATGACTTTGTGTGATTTTTGGTTTTATTCACATAGCAATTTATATGTAACCTAGTATTTAGCATGTTGCTATGTAATATAAACATTCAGAATATGTCTAGTTTTCAAAAGATTATTAACTTCTAAGGAAAAATTCTGAATCTCTAAGTTAATCTCTGGCTACTAGCCCAGTGTTTGGCACATTGTAAGCACTTATAAATGTTTGCTGGACTGAACAACCCTATACAGAGACTTGATAAGTTGCTCAAATGCAGTTTACCGTTGATTTTTTCTAAGTTACCTATAAAAGATGTGATGGGATGAAATTTGATAGTTAGCATTTGAGAAAATAACTTTCCTAAGTTACTGTTGTTTTCTAGCACTAGATGGCTAGTCACAGGTTACAAATAACTTAGACTAGTTTTGTTAGTTTCTAGAGGAAACAGAATAACCTACTGTAAACCTCATCTCAGTATAAAAGGGGCTTTCAAGAAGGATGTAATATTTGATGAGAAACAGCTCTCCACAAGGCACTTTGATATATGTCGTGTTTTCCTTATAACCACCTTCTATGATCTCTACTGTGAAAATGAGAATTTAAGGTCAAGGAAGTCAAGTGCCTTGCCCAAAGCCACAGCACTGGTAAAGAAGGAGCAGATTCAGGATTCAAAGTGCACGGCCTATGTTCTGTCTCAAAAAATGAGTACTTTAAAAAACAAAACCAAAAATACACTGTTCTATGAGCCGAGATTAGAAATAAAATCTCTTCATCTTTGGAGAAAGTGTAACAGATGCCGCGTGTTCCCTTCATCAAAAATGCCATGAAAGGGATTATAGGACACTGAATTAAATAACCTCTGTGTTCCTTGCGATTCAGTCATTCTCTGGCTTTCAGCTACCCACAGTAGGTAAATGGAAATGAACTGTTAGGAAGAAAGGGATGACGATCGGGTTAAAACCCCGAATGAGTGAACAAAGCACTAGGAATACATGTATTGGCGAAAGTAAGAATGACATTATTATTTAAGAGTTTCACAACACCTGTGTCTCTGAAAAGGGTTTGTCATTTCATTGTAACTCAGAAATGTAATTTTAAAAAATCTCCTTGGAATGTATCTCGTGATAAAGTTTCGATTTCTATACAACGTGTTTGGCTATATCAAGCCAACTCAGGTTACTTTTCGTCAATTTTAAAATTTGCTATCTGTGGCCATTATTTCCAGAATAAAAGATGAAAAAAGATCCCATCAGTGGTTTACTTAAACAAAATGAGGAAATTCTATTTTTTCAAATCCTGCCACAATAGCTGCATTTTTCAGAAGTATGCATTTCAATCTTTAAACATACTCAATGATTTTTGAGATTATGTGTACCACAAATATTCTGATACGGTTTTAGGCCCAAGAAAAACTTAGTCAATAGTATCTGTTCTAATTATTTT